AACCTCCGGATGCAGCACTGGGCCCTGGTATATGAGATCTGGCCTGGGAGGTCGAATCCAAGGCGGGCAATCCGTCAGGGAAAGCAGCAGAGTAAACCAGGCTCTTTTCGGGCAATAAAGCGCAATTAACATTAGCTCTGTCTCCTCCAACATAAACTTCTGAAGAACTTTGGGAATGAGATGTATTGGGGGAAGGTGTAACACAGAGGAAAATTCGATGGGTTCCACAGAGCATCCACCGCCAAGGTGGAATCTCCTGGATGCAGGGAGAAAAACTTTTTCATCTTTGTATTCTCCTCTGAAGCAAAGAGATCCACTACTGGAGGACCCCACTTTTCCAACAGGAGAGAAAAAATCTCCTGTTTTAAACCCCACTTGTCCTGAAGTATCTGATAACAACTTAGGTAATCTGCCAGGAGATTGTGGGTTCCCTTCAGGTGCACTGCCACCAAGGAGGCCAGGTTCACCTCTGCCCAGGAAAATATTTCCCTGGCTAGAATCTGCAGAGACAAACTTCTCGTGCCTCCCTGCTTGTTTAGATAGGCAACTGAAGTGATGTTGTTGAGAATATCAAGAGATGGTGTCCCTTCGGCTTGTCCTGAAAAATTGTGATTGCATTTGCTATTGCTTTCAATTCCTTCCAATTTGAGGACATTCCTGACTCTCTTAGAGTCTGCTGCCTCTTAGCCAACTCAGCTCCCCGATGAGCTCCTCACCCCCAAGTTCATCCCCTGAGTTCACCACCACCACAGACTTCTCTTTACTGAGGAAGGAAGAGAAATCGGAGAGTCCAAACTGTGCAGAGCTCGATTACACTTTCTCAGAAAAAACTGCTGCAAAGGTCTATGCTGAAAACTAGCCCACTTTACTGCCGGCAAACAATCAGTCATGAGCCCCAGTACTGACATCATCTCCCTTAAGGATACAGGAGGACTGTCCTGAAGGCGACTGACCGCTGAAGAAACCTTTACAATCTTTTCCTAAGGAAGGAAAGTGTTTTGTTCCACTGTATCTAAAACATAACCCAGGTAAGTAATCACTTGGGATGGCACTAGATTGAAATCTTGAAGATTTAACCCCCCCCAGTTCCTGCAACCATCCCCGAGTTACCACTAAATCCATCTCCAAATCACTGGCCTAGGTTGCTGACAGCAAGATGTCATCTAAATAGAAAATGATGTTGACTCCCTGCAGTCTCAAGGGTACCAGAGCCTCCCCCAATACATTCGAGAAAACGCGAGGGGTCGAGGATAGACCAAATGGGAGAGCCACTGGTAATGGTGAATAACTGGACCCATCTTCACTGCTAAGCGGAGAAATTGTTGAAAAGCTGGATGAATAAGGATATGCCGAAATTTTTACGAGGGCTTCCTCACTGAAAACACATGAGAGTAAAACCCCTGTTGTTCTTCCTGTATTAGGTCTCGGGAGATAACCCTTTGACCTGCCAGTTCCCCCAACAACAGACAAAGAGCCTTTGCTTTTTCGAAATGCTTCAGAAGGTGCGTGACAAGAAAACGTGTGGGAGGTATACTGTTGATTTCCAACCTGTATCCCTCCCTTATGAGACTCAGGATGAACTGATTGGAGGTAACCTTTATCCACTGAGGAAGGAAGTCCCCCAGTCTTCCTCCCACCGGAAGAAGACAGTCATTGTGGCTTTAGGGGTTGGGAGGGAGGGTAAAAAGAATACCCCCTCTACCTCTGCCCTTCTGGTCTGACCAATGTTTCTTGGGCTTTTCCTCCTAATTTTCCTGTGGTCTATTTCTTGGGCCTCGAAAAAACCTATGAAAGGGCTTCTTCTCTGAAAATGCCTTTTTCTTGTCCGCAGTTCTTTCCAGAATAGTTCCCAACTCTGCCCCAAAAAGCAAATCTCCTGAAAAGGGGAGGTTACATAACCTTAATTTTGAAGCAGCATCCCCCTCCCAGGTCTCCAGCCATAAAGCCTTGCGAGAGGAGTTAATGAGAGCAGAGGACCTGGCTGTCATCTTAACCAATTCAGCTGAGGCATCCGCAATATACCAATATGCTTTAAAAAGCATTGGTAGTAACTCCAAGAGCTGTTCTCTTGGGGTTCTCGCTAGCAAATCTGATTTTAATTGTGAAAGCCAAAACTCCAAGTTTCTAGCCACACATGTTGTAGCCAGAGCGGGCTTCAAATTTAATAAAGAAGAATCCCAAGCTCTTTTCAATAGAACCTCTATCTTCTTGTCCATAGGGTCCTTGAGAACACCCATGTCCCCAAAGGCTAAATCCGACTTCTTGGACACCTTAGCCAAAGGAGCATCCAGCTTTGGAATTTTGTTCCAAACCAAAGGGGGGTCATCGTCAAAAGGAAATCTGCGCTTTAGATTACCAGATCTGAGAGGCTTTTTCTCAGGTTCTGCCCATTCTCTGAGAATAGCGTCAGATAGAACCTTATGTACAGGAAAAACGTTAGATTTTTTAAAGTTGTAAACCCTGATACATGAGATCGTGTCCAGACAACTGAACACATTCCTCCTGAACCTCTAATGTACTATAAATGGCAGCCAGTAAGTCATCCACATCTTCCAAAGACAACTTATACCTGGAGGTGCCTGAAACGTCATCCTGGGTAGTAAGCTCCTCTGATGACAAAAATGTATGGGATGGACCTGGTTCACTAAGATCCTCCTGTTCGGACACTCCTAGGCACCCCACAGGGCCAACCTGGGCAGTACTGATAGGAGACGGAAATGGCACAGAGGCAGCAGGCCTAAAACCCTCCAATACTGATCTGAATGAAAAGTGGAAGCTAACTCCTCTTTTACAGTAGCTAATAGATTACTGCAAGCAGCTGTGGATTCTTCCCTAAGAAGATTGTCAATACATTTCTGACAAACAGATTTAGCATAGAGCTTAGCTTGACTGTACAAACAGCATATTTTTTCTTGAGGGTCACCATCGTTTTATCTGAAGCCTTAGCCTGCAAGAGAAGAACCAAGTAGCCATAAATACACTGCTCAATACCCAGACTGTAAGAGTGCCCCTCAAAACCAAAGCGCCCGCAGAGCACTGAACGAACCCTGCCAGCGTTGTTCTCAGTCTCTATTGAGATCCCCACTGAGCGTGCACAGCCTAAGCCTTCCCCTTCATCCTGCTCTGAAAATGAGGCTTGGAACGCACAACGACGTCACCCGCACCGGAAGTGACGTACACGGTCACCCGGTCTTGCCGTGGAATACCCCCCGAGGCCTCAGAGAACGAACGGACGCCTCTGATCGGCGGCCACCTGTTCCCTGCAACCCAGCCAAGGGGGCTCTGTCCATCAAGTCCTGGCCCTCGCTGGTCACTGACTGAGGAAGAGGATCCAGCGTATCCCCCCGCACTACACGGAGGACTAACTGGTGCCTATCATTACAAGGTAGGCTAACTACCTGAAAACAGATCTGTACCCACTAAACAGCTTAGACAGATCTGTTTAAAAAAGAAACCATCCCGGGCACCATCACCACATGGAGGCTCCTCTAGCGTTCTCCGTGACGCGTTCCCCAGTTTGACCGAGAAAACACAAAAGACTGAGGGACTGGAGAAGAGGCGGACCTTTTAAAGCTATAGTGTGACGTGTGTCCTGTGTCTGGGGGAGGAAATTTTATCTTGTTATGTTGTCTTGGAAGACCTTTATAGGAAAAAGTAATTTTTCGTTTTGGCCTAACAAGTTCCGCTGTGTAATGTGCAAAGCACTTCCCGCCCGCAGTGTGATTACCCGCACTGGAACACGCGGTACTGCAATATCCTGCGTTCCAGTGTGGTGAGATTACAAACAATTGTGCATGCAGTTTTATTCTGAGATAAACTTATGTTTGCAAAACTCCACTTGTGTATTTTAAATAAAATAGGGAATGTATTTATTTTTGATCCGATTAATCGAAAAAATTATTATGAAAATAATCATTAGTTGCAGCCCTAAATGCATGCACCATATTTTTTTATCACTGCATGGCAATGCATGTTATTGTGGTACTGAGCATGGAATGGTGCTGCAACGCCTGCCTGCTGGGAGATGTGTTGGGTGCCATGCACGATGAATAGCAACTCAACACTCCAAGCGTGTAGTACCGTGTGATAGCATGCATTAAACGGCCAGCTATGGTGTGAATGGTTCCTCAATGAACAATAAACACATTTCATTTTGTCTCACATTAGGGCCCATTCACACTAAAGAAATCCACTGCGGTGAGTTAGCGTGCATTTTTACACACGTTGACGTGCGTTGTGTTAAGACAGCCCTTTTATAATGAATGCACCCCAACAGACCAAAAAGACCCTCTTTTGCAGTGCACTAATAGGTCTATTCAAAAAAGGGTGAAGAGTTTGGAGAAGTGAACTATCTAGTCCAAAATGCTGATTTGGAATAATTCTCCAATTCAGCTCACTTTCCAGTTCAGCTATGTTGTCCTAGATTGTTCACTTCTCCAAACTCGTCCCCCTTTTTTGAATAGACCCGATTGTAGTAAGCTGTGGTGTGTGACGCATTGCACCCTACCATACATTGGGGTGCTGTTCAGTCAATCGCATATAGTGCGCTGCATCGGCATTCCTTATTACACTGTGCATTGCTGCAGTGCACAAGTGTAAATAGGCCTATTTGTACACTTTCATTTAGCTCTAACAACTTTAACATGCAAGGACCCGTCTGACTACAGTAATTACAAATGGATTGGACACATTACGTGACTCCTGGACGCAGTCCAGGTAAATCTAAAATTGAGTGTACAAACACTGTCAGAGGTAACGTGTATTCTGTTCCACGGATTCAAGCACCATTTCCATTTACAAAGCCGGTGTTCTATCGAAAGCTCTGACTCATCGACTTTTCCAACTGGTTTAGACGCCACTCCCTGAACAAACATGGCCGCCGCACCTTCACACCCCCCGTTCCTGCCCTCCAGAGTGGGCGCGGCTACGCTGCCTTCACTTCCTTGTCTCGCTAGGATTGGCGGTGCTCATATTACGTCACCTATGCGCTTGTAAGAGACAGAACCACCCCTTCGCTCGCGAGCCATTTTGTGCCAGGCTTACCACGAGCAGACCACTTGCAGGCTGGAGTCGAGAGCGAACTACGGATCTTGTGCCCCGTACGAAAGCGGAAAATCATGGGTAAACACGCATTCACTTATTGCTAGCACAATGCTTTCTATCACCTGCATGTGTCTTCTTTATTTCAGGAATTGCGCTCATAAGGTAGCATTGCGCGAGTCAGTGCATGTAAGGGACAAAGAGAGGCCGCCATTTTGTTTCCTGTGTGTGAGCGGGAAGCGATGTGTGTAATGGCACCCCGGAGCAGCCTTCCTTATTTCATTCATGCTGTAGCTCGGTGCTTGCCTGTGAACGTTAATATAAAAAAAACATGAGTTATTCCTGCCATGTTTTGTTTTATGGGGCTTGTGTGGTATCTATGTCTTCAGTCATTGTTATTGTAGTATGCTGGTGGGAAGTGGATGGGCCCTGGGTATGTGGAGGAGCCGTGCCTCGCTTTCTCTGCCCCCTCGCCGCTCCTAAGTATATGGCTTTGGCCTGTTGATCTTGAATTAGAGCTTCCCTTGTTTTCCTGTTCTTCCATGTTGCAGTATCTATTAGATTTTTGCTCATTTTAAAGGCATATTCTGCTTTTTGTGCAAAAAATAAAATAAATGCACCCACGTTGCAAACCAATGCATTTATTTTGCATTGGAGTCTGCAAAGCATTGCAGCTGTGATCAGTGGATGATTGGTGCAAAGCCTGGGCTCCTGCAGACGTTGCCCCAGGTCTGTGAGGATCTTTAATTATGGGACGTTATCCTTGAGCCTTTAGTTTTCTATGGCGACTTGTGCTCCAATGAGGACTGAGTTCCTCTGCTGTAGTGGCAGACAAGACCTGTAGTTTTTTCCATTCACAGATCCTATCAATGAATGGATCCTATGAATGAATGATGCAGTAGTGTGGAGGGGGAACCATGGCTTCCAAATTTACAAACGCACAGCTGCCAGTAAGGGGGGGGGACCCTACGATGGGGGGGCTGTAGAATGGTTCCACGTTATACCCTGAAAGGTGGAAGTAGTCATTAATATTGGGGCTCCTTGAATTTTGTGTGCTGCCATTCCTTTTATTCATACTGAGCACTATGTGACATTAATTATCACTACTCTCAATTGTGAGGCAGCCCCTTTTTTTTTATGTTCCATTTACACAACATGCCTAAAAGTAATATATAAAAAGTCATATTTTTTTTAGATATTTCTATGGAGGAGGCTTTTGTGTAGACCAAGTTATTCTGAAAGTGAGTCTGTCCCCATAGAAAGACTAGCTCTCCCCTCAATGCTTCATGTTTAACCCTTTGTGCAGACAATGTTGACACCTGATGGGATCTGCTAGCACGGAAAGGGTTAAGTTGGCCTTACACTAGTAGTGGGTTTTTTTTTCTTTTTTAAATAACCTAAATCGCTTCTTCAGGGCTCTCCTAACTGCCACTCCCTTTCCACATGTCACCTATGTGGTAGTGGTGTAGCCCTCAACCTGTGATACTCATGTCACTCACCCCAGGAGGCTTCAGAGCAATCTAGAGAATATGTAGCACAATGGGGGGAGTTTATCAAAACTGGAGCAACCCCCTCAGCATCTCGTTTGCTCAGGTAAAATTAGAAAATTAGACAGACGCTGATTGGTTGCAGTGCAAATCTGTTCAAGGTTTTGTCTGTCCCATTTTTGATTAATTCTCCCCAGTGTGTCATTGGGGAGGTGGCTGGAAGAGACAGCCAGTCCCTGGATGATGTAAGAGGAAGATGGCAGTGTGGCCGTGGAGCAGAATGCCGCTATGAGTTTGTGGATTCCACAGCAAAAGGGGAAATCTTTTAAAAATTACGTGGGGTCGTGGCTGCACTCGCTGTGGCTAATAACAATCCATTTGATTTATTAAATCTATGTAATGGGAGGAAAACGTGTAAATGCGTGGCTTGCTCTATTTTTTGTTTTTGCAGTGGAACGCAACACTGGCAAAGTTTTGCATGCGTTCGATCGCACTGTGGGCGGGGGTGGAGCGTGGAAGCGGTGCCATTGAATTCAATGCACTGCCACGCCCCAAAACGCGGGGGGGAGTTTCTCAGTGATCGCGGTGCGTTCCAGCAGCTACTGCTCTGGAAAGCACACGCTTTTGGTGTGAACAAGCCCTAAAGAAAATTGGTCAGCTTTCAATCTTGGAAAAAGCTTCAGTATCCAGTCTTTCCTGGTATGTCCCTCTGCAGGTTGTGCTTCTTTCTGCTGTCTCCTATAGTGATGTATAGGCCAGCTGATAGTACCACAACGTGCAGTAGGATACCGGGCATCATATACTGAAGTCGCTTCAGCTCGGGTATGTCACCATCCTTTGTTCTTGGATCAATATTTGCATGTGGGCTGATTTTAAAAGCTTTTGTTGAGCCTGCTTTCCGAGCCTAAAGGGCCTCACCAGTAGAGAAAAAAAACATTGTTTTTGGACCATTTGATTAATTTTCTACTAGTTAACGGGATCAAATCAATGATCATTTTCTACTGCAGTGATGAAATAACGTCAGAGTGGGATGATGTGATTTTCTTAATAAAAAAAACTTTATTCCAACATGGAATGTTAAAATCAAATGAAATTTCTAACCATTTATCATGGTTTGGTATGATGGCATTATGGAATGTCCTGACATTTGTTTAGACATCTACCAGTGTATGGCCAGCCCTAAATGTTTGTGCAGTGTTGTATGCTGTATGTTTATACATGATTACTAAAGGACAGGCAGCCAGAATAGGGGGTTTTCATGTTGTGGATGAATAGAAATAAACAAATTGGAAGGGGGAGAATTAGAATTGTGGAAAGTTTAATTTGACTGAAGGTGCACTTTCAGGGGTGTGGACATTTTTGAAAAAACTACTTGTCCAAGGTCTAAAGTGGGGGCCAAATCTACTTGTCCCAATACAAAAAAAAATTGTTTTAATTAAACCTAGGGATGCACTAATACCGGTTTCTGGGTATAGAGTACCGATATTTTGCTTTCGGTACTCACCGAGTGTCGGTGCTTCCGTTTGCATGGAGCAGGCTTGCCGGGCAGCGGGAAATGAGATGCTACCCGGCTTCCTGACTGCCAGGGAAGCCGACCTAAATGTTGTTTGGCCGGCTTAATTGTGAATGGCTGGGAAGCTGGTTTCCCGGGCAATCGGCATCGAGCCAGCTTCCTGGCCAATCAGGAAACCGGTCGGTGAGTAATGACCTGATGGCTGGGAAGCTGGCTTCCCAGCCAATCAGCAATGAGCTGGCTTCCTGGCCAATCAGGAAACTGGAGGTCATTAGTCGCTGCCCCACTTCCTGATTGCACGGGAAGCTGGCTCCATGTTCCCCCTACGGCACTGCCGGTCAGAGGAAATCTTCCTCTGACCAGAAGTTCCGGTATTGGGGAAGGTATCAAGCATTTGGGCGAGTACAAGTACTTGCACAAATACTCTGTATCTGTGCATCCCTAATCAAAACTGTATTAGCCTGTGCTAAATAGTGCTTCTCATTGGTCAGCGTGGTCCCCAGACCACGTTGACCAATGAGTGCTTGCAATATGCATTGGGCAGGACTGCGCTGGACAGTACGGGGCAAGGACAGTACACCTGTACCGGCTGAGGGTAAGGACTGTTTGTCGAAAGGTAAGTCTAGCAGGGGGGTTTTGGGAGAGACGGGCCAGATTTGTGGGATTTAAAATCCTCTATGATAGTTTGGAGGTGACAGGTTCTCTTTATGGAACCTGCCCTGTAACACCGAAATAGATGTTCTGTGTAGTTCCTGGCAGGTGGCGCACATGGTTTCAGTGATAACACAGTGCAGACGAGAAACGGATGCTTGTCCGGATCGGGGCTAAGTGTACAAAAAAACTACTCGCTCGGCGCCCGAAACTGCATGTCCCAGGCGTCAGGCGATAGAAATTCCACACCCCTGACTTTAAAGAATGCAATTAAGTGGTTTAGGTTAAGGGTACATCATTGCCACATTTCAATCCTGGTAACAAGTTTGAAGGTAACTAGACGAAATAAAATTGCTGTTTAGTGCTGCAGTAGATTTTTTTAAATGGTTATACTGAAATTAGTATTGATCTGCTGAAAAAGGGGGTTGTTGTCTACAGTCTCATAGATTAGCTATTCAGTGATTGCCTCCATTGAAGCCTTGAGAGAAGAGGCAATTCAATACTTTGTGATGCGTAAATACATTTCACTACAGCGTTACCTGGAGTGTTAACTGCTAGTTTTTTTGTGTTGCCCCATTCATGTAACAATTGTGATGCATTGAACTAAGTTTTGAAAGAGCAAATGAGCCATAGCCTTACCCAGAAATACATTGAGGGGGGAATTGATAAACTGGAGCAGCTGTTCATGGCAGCCAATCCGCTTCTTTCATTTTTAAATCTTAACTAAACAAACTGAAGAGAAGCTGATTGGTTGTCATGCACAGCTGCTCCAGTGTTGATAAATTCAAACCATTATATTAAATTTAGTGATGCGCTGAAACATATCGGCTGCCAATGGCACTTTTGGCCTAATGCCTAAAGTGCCATTTTCTGGCCGATACAGCGGTGCGTCCATTCTTTCTCTCTTCCCTGCTGGGCACTGTGTCCCAGCGGGGAGGAAAGAAACGGTCACTGGCGGCCGAGCGCTGCGAGCTGTCAGCATCTCTTCCCCACACTGCTCAGCCGCCTGTCACAGCTGTCGGGATGAAGTACAAACGCTTAGCGATCAGTGATCGCTGAGTGTTTGTACATAATTGAGGACATAGTATGGTTACTATGTCCTCAATTATGAATGATTGGTAAGTGATCTACATCACCTCCTGCTTATTCACGATTATGGATATAGTAAAAATAATCTGGCCTCAGTATGAATGAACAGGAACACTCAGTATAGAGGATTCCTGTTCGTTGTTAACAGGTGATAAAGAAAAAGATTCAGAACTCTGTGTCCTCAATCTTTCTATTTTCAAAGGGAAATATCAGGGGTCTGTTTATACTCCTAATATTTCCCTGAAGCCCCTAAAAGTAAAATACAATATTTAATAAAAAAATGAATAAATTAAAAGGTTTATAATAAAATATTTTTTAAAAAATGTGAAAGTTAAAATAAAAAAACCTTTTCGGTTTTGGCCTGGTTTTTTTTTTTTTGTTACATTTTGTGTCAGTTTTTAAATTATCATTTTGGTGCACCTCTAAACAGGTAGTTTTTGTGTTCTTTATAAATAATTGAAACATCATACACTGTGTTCTCGCATACAGTGGTGCAGTGCACCTCATCGTTCCTCGATCTGTATTTTGAACAAATTTGTCGCGAAAATTGATTACCCGTAGTAGGGCTCAGTGTTGCATTTGAATGGTCTGCGCATGTCTTTGCATTAAAAAAAAAAAAATCTAGAATATGGTAATAATCTTTGACAAAGTTTGCCTTTATCTTACAGCCATGCACCGTGACTCATGTCCTCTAGACTGCAAAGTCTATGTAGGAAACCTCGGAAACAATGGCAACAAGACAGAACTTGAGCGGGCTTTTGGCTACTATGGACCTCTTCGTAGTGTGTGGGTTGCCAGGAATCCACCTGGCTTTGCGTTTGTAGAATTTGAAGATCCCAGAGACGCTGCAGATGCAGTTAGAGAGCTTGATGGACGGTAATTTCCTCTTTTTGATTTTTTTTAAAGTCATCATTCTGTGTTGGCATACTAGGGTGGCTAATTGTTTTAAATGCACATATATAACTAGGTGTTTAAATTAAAAAAAAAAAACAGTACTGCAATCAAGAAATACAGTTGCTGAGTGAGGCACAAGAATGTAACTGATGTTAGAGGCTTAAAATATAAAGATCTCCTTAGAAGAATGCTTATAGAACTGCTTTCGTGCCTATAGAGTTCATAGAAATACCTGTTTCTCATGGTAAGCAATCCAGGTGCTCAGAATGCTTAAGTGTTGATATTCACTTGCTGGGTGGATAGGTTTGGATCCTGGTCCTGTCCCTCATCTCCTAAGCCTCACTGTTGGCCTAATGTAATAGGCAGCCTCACTGGCCAGTAGCTGGGCTTAAGAGATAGGAATTTGCCTGGTTCCCCACCCATTTTCCCTGGACATACATATTCGAGTGTGCAGGCACTTTTGCGTGCCTGTGATTTGCTGACCATGCTGGAAAAGACAAGTATATAACACTTAATGAAGGACAGGATACAGTTTTGCTTGGGTAAGCTTAGACCTGCATACTAACAATGTGTTTGATTTCCCCCCCTCAGAACAATGTGTGGATGTCGCGTTAGGGTTGAATTATCTAATGGTGAAAAACGAAGCCGGAATCGTGGTCCTCCACCATCTTGGAACAGGAGGCCCAGGGATGATTACCGTAGGCGGAGTCCCCCTCCGAGACGCAGGTATTTTGCAACATTTTGATGATACTTGGTGTATAATAAAGACATGTCTTGTTTCCTCCTCCCCCCCCCTTTTTTTATTTTTATATCAAGGTAAAAGTAGGTCAATCTTTTGAGAAACTGTTAAATATTCAATTATGTGTGTTTTAAATGCTGCAGTACAGTCAGAATGCTGTGCCAGTCACCCTTGCCTTGAAGTCCATCTCAAGGCAAAAAAGTGTCCTTGCAGTGGGGCTATCCCTGCACTGCAGGGGTTAAGTATTTTGTCTAGGGACTGGAGTAAAGCAGATTTGTTCACCTGATCCTTGCTCGTGCCTGCTCCCTCATTGCTACTGGACAGTCTCCGCAGCCTCTTCTCCCCTGGGCTCTGCCCATCTAAAGGCCGCAGCTTTCAGAGACTTGCGTTAGAAGTGAGGATTCTAAGGGACTTTCCACCAACTGGAGCTGAGGTTGAAAGGAGCATAATGCTGGCCAGTGCAGGATTCAGCTAAGTAAATCTGCTTCAGCCCCTAGACAGAAATGAGTGCTTAACCCTTGCAGTGTGGTGATAGTCCACTGAATAAATTATTTTTGTTTGCCGGGAGATGGGCTTTAAGCTTGCCTACACTTGATTGTTCTGTCCCATTTTTGCTTTACCTAGGCATTTAGTCCTTCTGAAATGACCTATGTGACTAGGTTTAGCAACTTGGGTCTCAAACGTTTAATAAGCAAGCAGAAATCCTCTGCATTTAACATTCAGTGTATTAGTGCACACCTTACATAGTCATAGCAAAACTCATTTGCTCACTGTGATATTTTTACATTACACCTTTAATTCTTTCTACCAGTTTTGGTTTGCGAGATCTTAATCTGTGAAGAAAATCACTGGTTTTGCTTTGTGTACTTCATGTATTCCACAGTGTGGGGGACACATAGTACATTTGGTCATTGCAGAGAGGGTCTCCTTTAGTTTGCATGGAGGTACATGGCTGGTTGCCATCACAATATTTGGGTTGAACTGTGTGTAGTAGATGTTCCATGATCAGTTTTCATTCTAGAAGCTTTAACTTGTATTCACTCTGAATGTAGGGAGCAGGGAAGCCAATCTCTGGTCTTCTCCCCTCTTCAGGGAAAAAAACAGTTCAGTCCTATATGCAGCTCACCGTGGTCTGCATAGAGGAATCTTTTCAGAACCTTTGTATATGCAGATATGGGCAAAACCAGAGTTTTTCCTTGTTTGGTTTGCTTTGTAGTCTATGGCTTTGAGGGAGAAGTGAGGGGGCCTATTTATAAAAAGGCAAAGTCTAATTTTCCCTCTACCTGATTTTTATATGTAAAACAATGCTTTTCAATACCATGCGATTGAAGTGAAATCCTAATAGATTTCAAACTGTAAGAACTACTCGCCTCCAATCTTGCTGGGTTTTTTTTTTTGCCCACTTGAAATTTTTCTTTCCCTTCCCAAACTGTCCCTTTTGTGCTGCCATTGCTTCTATTTTTGCCATTTTACTTCAATTGCTTTGTATTCCCAACTTTTTTTATGTGGCAAAAAAGGGAAAAATTAACCTTTTTATAAATAGGCCCTAAATTGAAAAGGTTTTACCAGATTCTGTTCTCAGATCAAATGTTAGGAAATAGACACGATAAAAGTGGCAAACTTCAGTGTTTGCTTTTTTTACCCCATTTATGTTGCAAGCAAATGTAATATTAGGGCCCATTCATACGGGTGTGTTGTGGTACAATGTGTTGCTGCAAGGAATACCACCCAATACCATTTTTGATTGCCACTTATTAAATTGGCATGGCATCTTCCAGCACACATGATGTACAGCACACCTCAACACACATGGCGTAAGCCGTAATGCGCTGAATTGTTGAAAAATGAACAAGCTGCCTTTAAATCAGTTCACTTTAACACACAAAGGTGCTTTTATGCATGGTGTGAATAGGCCCTTAATGCACTAGGATGAACTGTTGCCATAAGTTTATTTTTAGAATGAAAGTAGCATGCAGCTTTTGTGTCTTTGATCAGGTTCATCTATAGTTTCCATGCTTGCTTATGTCAGATCTTTTTTTATACTCCATAGTCTTAACATTATAGTTGCAATAGAAGTTTAAGTATACCCCATCAGAGTTAGAAGTAGGCAGTTATACTGATGGTTTGTTTTGTTTTTTGTTTGTTTTTTTTTGTTTGTATTTCTTTGTGTGTGCTTTTGGTCCATCTAATAAAAATGAAACCCGTTACAGAGTCACCATCATGTCTCTTCTCACCACCCTCTGGGTCTACATTAGCCAGTCAACTAGCCCTTTCAGCGTCATGTGACCAGCGCGTCCCATTCAGCTTGGCTGGTGTCGTATCACATGACCCAGGCATGGCCAGTCATCAGGTTGCACCGCCCTTTGGTTCCCGAGCATGCTGTCCACTCAACCTTCCTCCTCTCCAACCTTAACCAAAACTCGGCAGCAGCCCACCTTCAGCGCCCACACATTACCGGCCAATCCGCACAGCTGTTAACTTTGACAAAATGTCTTCACAACAACTGCAGCGCCAGCCTACGGCTAACCAAAAAAAGCAGGAAAAACCACAACATCCCCCTTCGCAAACCATCTTAATTCAACGCAACACCTGGCAAAACTTATCTACAAATTCTACTTGGCCACCTGTCCGGCATCTTCGCCATTTCTAGCTTGTTGAAACCCCAAAAACTAGTAAGTTTTTTCCTGCTTATACAGAGTTTTCTGCTGGTTTAAGTTAGACTTTGGGCAGCTTTTGTAAGAAGGTAATTTTTTTTTTCTTTGCTCAAACTAAGGCTGGCTGTGCATAAACTTGAAGGTAAATTGCTTAAAAACGTTGGAGCTTTTAAGGGTGATAGATTAATTTTTTAATTAGCGAACCTGGGCTCGTGTATGAGCAATGTAGTACGATTGCTGTTCTAGATTTTAGAAGAAATCCATCATCCTTAAATATTTGGTATTCATTACTAACCCACCATTCAGTTTAGTTAACACATTTTGAGACTAATAGGTTGCTGAAATATAAAGGTCCCCTGAATCGGATGTGCTAACTTTTTAGTTTCTCAAATTTCCCCAAATTTTTGCAAGTGCACATCGCTTGCTCAATTTGTTTCTACTATGGCCACCAGGTTTGCAGAATTAAAGGACTTTTTTTTTTTTTCTCAAGCCAGTCTGGGGTCACAGGTGTGGTGTTTAGAGTAAACCGTCCACAGTCAATGGGAGCACCCTAGTGGAAGATTAATATTTTACTATTTAATTTTCCATTTCCAGTCTCTCTCCCCAATCTTCTAGGTGGTAGCGATGGTTTATATTGTACGTAGGTATAAAGTGCTTGGGTCCTCGCTAAACGCATATGGGTAAATTCTTGTGTTTCTCAGCAAAGGCTAATTATTTTTATTTTTGGTTTTTCTTTCGAACTAGATCTCCAAGGAGGAGGAGCTTTTCACGTAGCCGTAGTAGGTAAGGCTCTCATCTTGTACTACTGTGGTTATTGCAGTAAACTAGAGATGTTAAACCCATTCTGTCAGAGAACCTCTTTTGACTTGATCAGTCAGGCTCTGTATAGTGCACTGGATTTTTAAAACCAGCAGTCCTTTGGGTTCCCAGCTTTGTATATAGGTCAATCATGAACACTTTTACATCTTGCATGAAAAGGTTGACGGAGCATGTAGTTTTAGTTTGCCTGTGCAGCGACATGTGATCCTTTGCTATTAATATCTACTAAGATGGTGCTCAGATTCAGGGTTATTAGTTTGAAAGCCTTATAAATTGTCTGCAATACATATTGGTGGATCAATCGAATAACTTGTTAAGGCTACAGAATTTTTCTTTTCATGGCTTCACTTTAAATTAAATTGTTACAATCTTGTCCAAATTCACTGTGTGTTGGAAAGATCAGTAGATCCAGATAAAGATGGGTAGATGAATAGATAAATATGCAGCAGAAATTATGACCAGTTCATGTTTGCCAGTGAAAGGCAAGGGGGCACAGCCTCAATCGATGGGAGTAGGTGTGGCAGGCTCACATTTTACATTTAAATTTATATAATTTTTTTTCCAGTCTTTAAATGCTTATTTGGGTTTAAAGCATAAATAAACCATGACATTCTAATGGTTCTAGTGTCTATTGCCTTTCTGTCTGTCATGGTGCTCCCTCTGGCAAGATTTTAAATAGTCTGAATGAAGAGAAATATGGAGGCTGCCATTGTTGTGCTCTTCTTGACCTGGGATGTTGCAGCCACTGGTTCAGTGTGTGTGTATAATATGTATGTATACATGTACTTCTTTTTATTGTTTAGCAGTGACACTATTTCTATGAGCTGAATATATATATTTTCTACATTCTGAAATTTTAGAAAAATACATGAGAGCCTGATATTGTAAGCAAGTCTGTGTTGTCAGAATGGAGTTTACATAGATAATGCTGATATTTATTTTTTTGTACCTAAAATTGTTAATTTTTAATCGTCTTTTATTGAAAATCTCCTTTTGGGTTTGAAGGTGCAATCATGTTTTCTTTCTTGTAGGTCCCTTTCTAGAGATCGTAGGAGAGAGAGATCTTTGTCCAGAGAAAGGAACCACAAACCATCACGTTCGTTTTCCAGATCAAGAAGGTAATAATTTGTAGTAATATAGTAAACTCCATGTGCACCTAGTTAGTAGTAAGCATAGAAGTGAGGACTACACACTACCAGATACTTGTAAGTATCACTTCCACATTATCATTGTACAGGAGCCTTTAAAGTTCAGCTACGGTTTGCAGTCAATGGAGACATTGAGAGGAGCTCTGCTTTGCACTATGGCATGTGCTGGCACTTCAAAAATTTGCTCGACCAAATAAACAATCAAGTCTGTTTCTTGTAGTGACGGTTAGCTTTAATATTTGTGCCTTCATACTAAAAACTATATCAAGAAACGCTGCTAAATCCATGCTACTACGTTTATGCGGGGCAGGTGACAAGGTTTTATATAATTGCAGCAGTTTCAAAATTTTGCAAATACTGCCGGAGGTCCGACTTTCTAAATGGCAAAGCACTGCTGTTTGCTTTAGGTTTAGTTTCCATTTGTGGCCAAGTCCAGTCCCTGTCAAATATCTGTATGGACTGTCTTGCTGCCCAAGAGAAATGTGTGAAAGAGAGCATGGAGTGGCCAAGCTTGAACACTGAGGCCTGGCTTTCGGCTGTATCTTCAAGCTTTTTGACATTGCTGTAGGAATGCATCACCTGTAGCAGAACCTTTACAAAGTCTTTTTATAACGATCTACTTTTTTTTTTTTTTTTTTTCTCCACAGCCGTTCCAGGTCAAACGAGAGAAAGTAACATGGCTGCCTTCAACTGTGTACAGATGATTTTGGAAAGATTTTGTTTTTTGACATGCTTTTTAAACTTTGTTTTTTATTAGGTGTTCACATTGTATTGTCTTGTAACAAGTGACGGAAAATGTGGTTCTATTATGTTTCCAAACAGAAGAACTGGCAAATAAACCTAACTTTATACTGTATAAGTTACTATTCAGTTTGTTCTTTTGGTGTTGCCCTAAGCCTGAATTTCCTGTTATACAGCATTAATTCTTCTTTTAAATGTACCATGCCAAAATGCTGTGATACTCTAAAACAATCTTATGTGTCTTCTGTAAAAGCTGCCCTGGGCTTTTCAGGTACAAATCCTGCATCGTTTCTGAAGTCATCCATTTTGCTGGCCTAAGGAATTTGCTATACAGTTTTAAGTCCTGATGAATGTTGATGATTGATTTTGAAATGTGCTGGAGCTTTACTGTAAGCATTTACTGAAATTTAACATGCTGCATTGTGACTGGGTTCCTTAGGTATGTCATTCGGTGTATTGGAAGGATTACTTTTTGTCTTTGAGTTAATTTGCTAAACAAAGAAACCAGTGATCTGATTCTTGGGAACTACACTTGTTTAAAGAATAAGTGCACTTTAAAACAAAGGTGATGTCATTGCTCGCTCCCTCCACGAGCACAGATGAATACTTCAGTTCCCACAGGACTGGCCTTGGTTCTTTATATTCTGCGACAGACATCTGCTCCTGGCTGCACCTGTGCAATACATACTCATTTCCGTATTGGAAATTAACCCCATAGAAGCTAATGGGGGTGTACTGCGCAGGCCCTGCTGAGCTGTGTAAGCTCTGGAATAC